CTTCTTAAATGAACATCAATTTACAAGGTGAAGGATCTATTATTTTTAAATTGTAAGTACATTAATATATTTTTTCTTTTCAAGTTAAATAGTAGATTTATTTTTATTTGTGCAAGTGCAAAATTTGATTTAGTTACTATAAAATAGCAAAAAAAGATTCTAGTATTGGTAAAATATATTCACAATAGTTAATTACAAATTGATAACTTTCATCTGCTATATTAAATACCAACTTACCTATTTAAATTAACTTTTAGATTTATTTATGTTATTATAACATCAGATTTTGAATATCAAAATTAATATAAATTTTCCTTAATAACGTTCAATATCAAGAAAAAATTACTTTTATTGGGATATTTGGCAAGTAATTTAATAACCACTGTGAAATTTATGTATATAAATATGCAAGATATTTCCTCTTTTTAGTAAACATATTTTTTAAGAAATAATTAAGTAATATATTTTATTATATTCTAGCATGGAGCATAAGAAGACAGCAGGATGCCAAAAAATTCCATTGGCGAAAATAGAGAATGAATCTGCTCGATTCACCACATTCTCTAAATGACGTCCTGGCTTATACAAAAAAGCTTGTGAACTTGTTAGAGAATGTGATGTCGATCTTGAAATTGTTATGTCTTCACCGAAAGGTATACCTTATTCCTTTATTAGTCCAACCTCTAATGTGGTCATTGATCGTTTTATAAATCCTACAACAAAATTAAATGCAAGTGATCGACTTGTTGCTGTAGAAGCACCCAAAAAAGTAAGTCAAGTTAATGATATTCTTAATGAATTGGATGAAAGAAAAAAGATTGCAAATGAAAAATTAGACCGAATGAATGAGGCTAGAGATATAGGTTGGTGGGAGTCCATAGACCGATTCAGTGTACATGATACAATGAAGTTTGAAGCTTGGTTAACTTCCGGTGAATTTAATTTGAACGAACATTTGGAGCAGCTAGAAAATGGAGCTTCATCCTCCTCACAGATTCCATCAGATGATGCAAATATCTCACCTAATGTCTTCTAGATGAATTATCTTCGGATAATATTATTTATCAAAGTCCTTTACTTTAATTTTTTCGTTATTTATTATTTTGTTTCAATAAATGATACTTACTACTCCCTCCGTCCACAATTGTTTGTCAGGGTATGGTCATGCACACCCCTCAAGGAAAATTTAATACAAGGTGTAATTTGACTAATATAACCCTACTATACCAAGAATACCAAAAGTCCACATAACTTTTTCAATTGAACTACACTATCATTAAGGGCAGAATTGGAAAAAAGTGACTAATTATTTCTTGATTGTTTAAATTGACAATTAATCTTGAACATATATTTTTAGTATACCTGCCAAACAATTGTGGATGGAGGGAGTACATGTACTTGAGTTTTTATGGAGAATGGAAGCGGGCCTCTTTTTCTCTTAAAATTCAAGAGCAGTTCTTTATAGGGTAACTCATGTAATTTAAAATTTCGAGAAGTGGACCTCTCTTTTGAATCTTTAATTTTTTATAATTGAATTATGTAAAGAAAGGATAAGTCTTTCCTATAAAAAAAACACAAGACATACTAAGAGAAAACAAGACAAAGAAAACAATTAGCTCTCTAAGTACTCACTTGAAGGACTAAGGAAAATCGAGATAAAAAAAAGAAGCAATTAACTTTATGTGTAAAATCGAGAACCTTTAATTTCTCCCATTTAATTGTCATAGTTTTCATTTTTAGAATCAAATGATAATAACTTTGACTAACATTTTACGATGTATATTTTTTCATCATATTGATATGCAAAAAATTGTAATTTATAGTATTTTTCGTATAGTTTTTGAATATCTAAATTTTTTGCTTAAAATATCAAATTAATGTAATCAAATTTAATTTTAAAAATTAGTCAAATTGACTTTTGAAAAATACAAAATGACAATTAATAGTGGACAGAGGGAGTAAAGAATAAGAATCATCTTCATACGTACAAAAGTAGTTGAAGTAAAGATATGAAACAACAAAAAGAGATTTGAAAGTTTTAACATTATCCTATCTAAGCAAGAAATTGAAAAAAATGAAGAGGAGCCGAATTTGAAAATAATAAATAAATAAAGTGTGGAACTATTAACATTCTTGATAAATTATCACTAATGATGCCAAAAACAATGAGAATAATAAAAAAAGGCATAATATATAAAAGTACCCTTTAACATAGATTCAAATGGAATCTACGCTCTTCAATTTTGAGTGTACACAAATATAGCTAAATTTGTATAACAATAAACAAGTATACACACATGTCCTACGTGGCAATTTTCATCTTATGTGGCGTCGTACATGTATTATGTCACATAGGACGTGTGTCTCTACTTGTGTACACATAAGATTGGATGACATAAATATCAATTAATACTATCATTCCTTAGCAATCAATGCCCACAATCAATGGTGAATTGGAGATCTTCAAGCCAAACCCTAGCTTTCTCCCTCCTTAGTTCCTGAGGGAATTTTTGGGGTGATCTTGGAGGGAATTTAGGGATTTTAGAAGAATGATTTATAATGGGTAGTTTTTAGGCTTAAAAGACTTATATAAGGCTTAGGATTAAGATCAAAGTGACTTAGTTTAGGTATTAATCGATTAGGAAAAAGAGTTAAAAGCCCTTAAAATTAATTGTCAATCCATTCCTACGTACGGTCTGTAGGTCCTTCTACGAACCGTTCTGGTCAACAATAGAAATGATCAGAGACTATTACTTTAGACCAACTTTTGACGGTACTCATGTACGGCTCGTCGTAGGTCTACCTACGATCCATACATGCCAACCAAAGAAACCAACCTTAAACTTTAAAATCTCACGTAGTTTGGGGGTAACCTATGAGACCTATCTACGACTCGTATGTGGGAGGATGGGTTGTCCTGATGAACCGTATAAAGGGTACTGAGACTTGTTTTGAAAAAAATAATCCAAATTCCTACGGTAGCCACCTTCGGCCCGTAGAAATTTCTACGGTCCGTACGTAGATGGGAACTGTAGACACAACATGCAACCCAAAAACTCTGTTTCTCTCTTTTCCAAATTCTGAGGTGTTACATTTGATTTGTAAGCATTTTCTTATTGGTTAAATCGAACCGTTATGGACCAAAATCGATGAAAATTATCTTATTGATTTGGTTATTGGTTTAGAACTTTTAAAAACTAAAAATCGATAATACTTAAAACCGAACCGACCTATGCACACCCTTATCTAGAAATTAAAGAGGCCTCATTTTGTAACAATGTTGTTATATAAAGGTTTGACAGTCTCCAATCCGAAATTCATATATTTTAAAAAATAAAATTTGAAGTCCAATCCATAATCCAAAACAAATATCCAAGATTTCCAATTTTTTTGAGAAATTTGACGGTACATGAAACCTCATCATAAGCTTAATTTGATGTTAAGTAAAGCGTTAAGGTTAGGCTGTTAGGCAGAGTTGTAGTTGGAGTTTGGCACGGAACCACTCACATTCTTGTGGCCTGTGTGATGAAAAATTAAATTTTAACATGCATAATTAAGCCTAGATTCTTTACGTTTGATCTTACAAATAAAGAATAAGAATCATCTTCATACGTACAAAAGTAGTTGAAGTAAAGATATGAAACAACAAAAAGAGATTTGAAAGTTTGAACATTATCCTATCTAAGCAAGAACTTGGAAAAAATGAAGACGAGCCGAAATTGAAAATAATATATATATATATATAAAAGAGAACCCTAGACCCGCCTGCGTGGCACCACCACAAACAAGGATTCTCTTTTAATTTATTTATTTTCTAAAACTAGCCTTTCCTTTTATGTAAAAAGTTGTAGACTTTTAATGAAAAAGTTGCGACTTCAATGAAGAGTTGCGACTTCAATGAAAAGTTGCGACTTTTAATGAAAAGTTGTGACTTTTATAAAAGGTTGTGACCTTTCCGAAAGGTTGCAACTTTTCCAAATAATTGTGACCTTTTCGATAAGGCACACCAAACATTTGTTCACACTATCCTTTGTTGTCTATAAATAGAGGAATTTCCTCTCATTTTAAAACAACAAAAATTCTGAACTTCTTATTCTTCTTCTTTTTCTTCTTCTACACAATTAAATATTCGTGTACTTTACTCCTGTTGAGTGGCTCACTGACAAGTGACACCATTACTTCTGTTACAGATTCTGGTATTTTTTTACAGTCATAAATTTATGCTTATGTTATTAAGGATAAATGATAAGATGTTATAATTTTCATTTTCCTTTATATTATTAATGTTCGTTACTACGTAATCTTGTATGTAAAATAATATAGTGTTTTAGTTTTAATGACTGATAAGTTTTGTATTATTTTATAAATTTTGTGATATTAAATTTCCACGCAAAGCGCGGGTCATTTTACTAGTAAATAAATAAAGTGGAACTATTAACATTCTTGATAAATTATCACTAATGATGCCAAAAACAATGAGAATAATAAAAAGGCATAATATATAAAAGTACCCTTTAATATAGAATCAAATGTCATCTACGCTCTTTAATTTTGAGTATATACAAATATAGCTAAATTTGTATAACACTAAACAAGTACACACACATGTCCTACGTGGCAATTCACATCTTATGTAGCGTCCTACATGTATTATGTCACTAGGATGTGTGTGTCTACTTGTGTATACACAAAATTGGATGACATAAATATCAGTTAAGACCATGACACATTTATATATTATACCAATTAGTAAAAAGGTAGTCCATAACTTCCTCATAACATAGAAAGATTCTCTTTAGCAGGTCCTAAAGTTAAAGAATCTATAAATATATCCATTCAAAGTATATATTTCCTTGTGCAATTTTTCAACAATTACCTTTATTCCCTTCATGAAAGCAAGTTCAATTTGTAATCTTTTTAAGTTATATCTTAGCCTTAAGAATCTTTCTTTTCACAATATCTGTCTATAAATATTTACACATTAGTTCCATCATATAACATACATACAAGCGTGATTAAAACTATGGCTTATTATTATACTTGCAATTTTCCTGATATTTACTCTTGGATTCACAACTTACCACCAATTTCTAAATGGAAAACAGACTCTATTTCAATTTGCATTTCTCCTTCATGTTCATCTCAACCTTCCCTCAAACTCTCCATAGCTAAAAATTACCATTTTTCCATCGTCGCAGATTATAATCTTCCTATTTCCCTATGGACCTCAAAACCGTTAAGAATCAAACACAATACAACAAAATTATTAGACGACGAATCAGTATTCAATCTCTTGATCAATATCGTCCACGATGTCCTGAACTATGGTCCGAATAAAAATTATAACTCGTTGTTCCTCAAGATCCCACGAATGGATTTTAACAACTCAGATTTTAAGGAAATTTTCAATTTCTCATTTCTTACTTTGGCTTTCATAATTTGTATCTATGAAGCCCCTGCTGATCTTAGGTCAACATGTATTATTGCCCTGAAGAATCAATTTTCATGTTCGCAATCTAGAGAAGCATCAAAATTGCTCGTGAGGTTTTTGGGATCGAATATTGAAGAGCAGTGGATGCGTTCAGTAAATCTAGCGATAACTAATTGGATCCTGGAAATACATTCTTCTTCTAATCATCATGATCATGCGATGAAAACGCCATGTCCATTGTTTTCATACTCATTTTCGACACAGGGGCTATGGAAAGTTCAGCTGTATTGCCCTGTTATTGCAATGGATGCCGAAACATCTACTTGTAGTAGTTTATCTGATGAAAGTTTGAGGTTTTCTCTCAACTTTCATCAGCTTGAAGGAGTGATCCAATTAAATCATAGAGTTATTGTTCGAGAAAAGTGGATTGAAGTAATGGTGAACACCGATAACATTAGGTACATTTGTCTTCTTTGAACTAATTCTTTTTGGCGTAAAATTTATAAGTCGGTCAAACAATCTTATACGCTCTTCTTGATTTATTTTCTTGTTTGGTGCTTATAAACACAGATCAGCAAGATTTCTATTATGTTATTCCAAATATTTTTCGAAAAATCCAAATACCTTTTCCATGTCCTTTTTCATGTAAAGATATTCTTATACTCATGTTTTTTGCAGAAACGGACCAAAAATGCTCCTGAACTATATAGTAAATAGGATAAAAATGACTTCCGTTTGGTTTTTGGTCGAAAAATGCCACTGAACTATTATAAATAGGACAAAAATATCCTCGTGGCTAGTAAATTGGCCCAATAATGCCCTTATCTCATTAAGCGTATTTTAGCTATTTTAACTGAATAAAGTACATGCTTATAACATTCTTTTACTAAACATACAACTATTTATTATACGGAAAAGACTCAATATGCCACCGAACTTTGAGAATAGGTTCACTTATGTCATATGTTAAAAGTTTGGCTCATCTATGTCATTTTCGTTTGAGAAAAGGTTCAAATCAATTGTTGGACACTTAAAAAGTGATTCTCAACACTAGATGCTTATGGATTACTTTTAATCAGCTAATCCAAGGAGGATCTAATCTAAAGATTAAAATTTAACTTGATGTGAAAATCCTTATTGACTACATGTAATATTCAAATCAACTATAATATGACTAAACAGCCATAATTACGAACTTTTAGGGAAAAAAAGAACTAAGAGTGAATTTTAACTTGATTTTAAAATGTACGTTCATGTAGGTGTGATGTTGTTAGGCTAGTGAATGAATCACTAATGGCAGAGAGAGGAGCAGGGGTATCAGAGAAGCATTTCCCTTCAAGAATCTCATTGCAACTAACTCCAACACTTCAATCCAATGTGTTGAGCATATCAGTAAACAAGTCCTCTGACAATCCCTTAAGAGAAATTGGAACCGAAAAGACCATTGAAGCAGGATTCGATCCACCAAACACTTACATAGGCTTAAAAGTCTCCGCAGGAGAGACAGTTGTTACGACCATGAAGCCGTGGAAATTTGAGCAATCTGTTAATGGAGATGGTGTAAATTTGAATTGGTTTCTTCATGATAGTGGAAATGGAAGAGAGGTATTTTCGTCGAAGCCTTCTGTTTTTTCATTAATTCAGCCAAAGGCTTGGTTCAAGAACAGATATTCAAGTGTTAATAGGCCTTTTACTAAGCAAGGAGGGGTAATTTTTGCTGGAGATGAATATGGGGAAAGTGTGTGTTGGAAAGTGGACAAAAGGGCTATAGGGAAAACAATGGAATGGGAATTGAAAGGGAGACTTTGGTTAACATATTGGCCAAATAAACATATAACTCCTTATGCTGAGACTAGAAGATTGGAATTTAGAGAAGTTCTTCATCTCAACCTTGCATAGTATGTGGATAGACGGTCTATGTTACATCTTCTTGTTCAAGTGTGTATAGGCTGCATAACCTGCATGAATGCGGGATGCTTCGTCTGTTGAGCTGGTCCTTTTATTGATTATCAAAATGTATGTGTGTTGTATAGTTATATTTGTTGTATTGATTGTCAAAATGATGCTTGCGTCTAGGTGCGGCTTTTATAATACTAATTATTATTATTGGTATTGGTATTGTTTTTTTCTCAGTAACGCCTTGAGAAAACTAGTACCAACTACTCGACTTAAGGAACCAAATTCCTTAGGACTAACCGAAAACATCAAGGTTAATAACGCGAGTTTTACATCGAAAACCTCCTTGCTCAAGGGAGTTAAAAACACGACCTAAAAGGTGTAGAATTTCAGCAACTTTCACTAACTTCAAGGAGCGGTTTCAGATTACAACTCTATATTACAGATCTCATTTGGCCCGGTTGCTCTTCCCTTACACATATTACAGATAACATCCTTAACCTCATCAACCTTAATACACCTACAACACCCAAAATTGTGATGCCTCTTTGATTGCTCCAACTCCCCCCTAGCACAATGTCCATGCCCTCTCTTCGTTCAAGGCTTTATGGAAATATAATTGTCACCTCTGTCTAATGAGTGTCTCCTCCACCAAAACCTTGTCATTCTCGTCCTTTAATTATGAACTTCACTTAATCACATGCCCTCCATTCTCTCGCCTTGTCTGGTCTGTACAACTCTGTATCCCCGTCATTGTCCTCTAATCCAACATACATGAGTTCCAAAGTTGTTGTCTTTGCCATCGTAACCACTTACTTCACCTCCTACTTGGCCACTTTATACTTTTCCACATTTGTCCACTTCTCCTCCTCTCATCCTTACTTTCTGCCAACTTCGTTTACGTTACCTTCTTAGCCTCTACCTTTCGTTGGACTTCTCCATCCCATCATATCACCATATCCTTGATGTCACCCTGATCTACCTCACGAGACCCCCAAAACCTCGAAAAGTACTACAATTTTGTCAAAGCAAATGTAACTACATATTCTCGCCCCGCCCCCACTCATTGAACCATTAACAAATTTAAGAGCACAAAATGTCAATTACTTTATTTTGGTGTGTGAGTACATGGAAACAGAGAACAAAAGAAGAAAAGGAAAGGAAAAAGCTTCATATAATATGAAACAGATTTTATTTGTCACAAATGGATTAGAGTATGCTTCTTTGCTTGCAACATTCAATTGCTCCATCATACATTTCCTCAAGCCCATGTTTGTACTTGAATCCAGTCTCCAAAAGCTTTTTGGATGAAAATCTAGGGCATTTAACTTCTTCACTACTTGCCCATGTGTACCTGCAAATTAACATTAAATTAAATCAAGTATATTTTTTCCATCTTTAATTTCCAGAATAAGCATTTACTAATTAGACTTGTAATACCTAGATATAGGAAATGAAATGTGTTTTTCTTAACCCCTCCCTAGAAATTCCTTCTTTTTTTTTTTTGCTTTCTTAATGACTCCAACCCACAATCTTACCATTTGAACAACCTCTCTTGTCATAAATTGAACTATGCATATCGCGTTCTTTTGATTACTCAAAATTAGAAAGAAAAAACTGTATATAAGATAGCATAGGTCATACAATTAACTTTTTCCTGAGTAAATTATGTTTTAACAGTTAATTTTTATGAAAGATGATAGTACTATATAATAGGGCAACTAGAAAGAAAAGAAAGACTCAATTTTTATTACCTTATCTTATGAAAAAGAATCAACAACAATATTAAAGAAAAGGCAAGTATTTATACTTACTCATTAATTTGTTTTTGAAATTCAGGATATCTAGTCAAAAGAAACTCAGCTAGCTTTTCACGTGTTATTTCAACAGCTGAACAAATATATCTTCCTTTTGCATTAGAATATTTTTCAAGAAGGAAAATGTGAGCATTTGTCACATCATCTACATGTACAAAAGGTACATATGGAGGGTAACTCATGTTATAATTTTGATGACCTGCACAATTTTTTCCAATTACAATTAAGTAGAACATATATACGTTGAGAAAATGAAAATCTATGATATTTTAAGACGTACCAAGAATCATTTCCATGGATGAACGAACAGAGCCAGGAATTTGAGGAGTAATAAAGGGGCCATGTATCCAAGTTGGGATTACAGTCACAAGATTGATACCATTTTTTTCAGCGAATTCCAGAGCTGCCTTTTCTGTTAATGTCTTACTAATCGTGTAAGAACTTGCAAAGTTCTTTAAAGCTCTTACAATGTCTACGTTTGTCCATGAGTTTTCGTCCACTATGTCTGATGAGTTCTCAACCATAACCGTAGTTGAACTAGAAGTGTATATAACACGTTTAACTGTCTTTGAATTAAGACATGCATGTAAAATGCCTAAAGTCCCATTGATAGATCTTTGTGTTATTGTTTCTTCACTTTCTTTGTTCTCAAAATCAACTGGATGTGCAACATGAAATACTCCAATGCATCCTTCAATTGCTGCATTGAAACCCTCTGGTTTGTCTAAATCAAAATTAAAAATGTGTAGTCTTTCTTGAGCACCTGGAAGATTCGTGATGTAGCTCACATCATTCTTGCGATCTAGCAATGAAAAAAAAAAGAAGGAAAAACTCATCGTCATAAACTTAAACGTATTTATTTGGCGTAATGGCCTACTGGACCCCTAAACTTGCTATACTTCGTCTAACCGTAATCGTGCTGATGTGGAAACAACAACAACAACATCATATCCAGTGAAATCCCACAAATGATAGTTAGGAAGAGTAGAATATATGCAAATTTATCACTATTTTGTGAAGATAGAGAGGTTATTTCCGAAAGACCATCAACAATGACGTGATATATGAGGAAACTTTCATTTTAACACCTCAATTTAAACTTGCAGTACTATGGGGGGAAAGGAGAAGTTCACTTGTAGAGTTAGAATCAGGATTTTCACTAAAGAATTAAAAATATGAGGAAGAAGTTAGAGAGGTTCAACATTTATTATATACTAATAAAAAATAATTTTAAACGTATATAAACAATGTATTTTTTTACCGTAACATATTTGAAGCTTGTTGGTGTTTTTATTTGGAGGAGAAGGTGATTGATACATGATGAGAAGAGGAAGAGAGAAGAAGACTTGAAGGAGAAGAACTAGGGTTTCGGTAGAAAAAGGCAAAAAGGCAAAGGATGAATTTGAAACGACCTAGAGGAAGACTGGAGGAAAGAGATATAAAAAAAGGATGAAAGGATGTGTCAGGTCCTTGGGAGACGCGACGCTTGAACTTAAAGCGATGGGACAAAACAGTCAGAGTGGTCGATGACTAACATGTGGAGGTCTCAACGGTTCTCAATGACAGTTTTAAAATCAATGGAAAGAATACTAACTAAACTTTAGACATGACCAAGTCCTTATCTGAATGCAGAGAGAAAATTTACTTCTGAATGGTTCAGAGCCTTCCTTACTTCTTCAGTTTCCACTAGCGTATACCTATAAACAAAGGGACAAGATTGGTCTAGAACGCAAGACACTACAATTAACATGGATACCTACCCTGCAGATCATAGCCATTGAGGGTTGGATGCCTAACAAAGGTCAGCTCAGTCCAACTTCAACATCCCTAGCTTCAGCCTGTTAGTCACAAACTGATCTTTGCTCAAGACCTTGGTAAATGTATCAACAATTTAATCCTCAGTTCTGCGGTACTGCATACAAATAGTCCATTTTTCAACATTATCCCTTAAGAAGTGATGCCTAACATCAATATGCTTGGTTCTCTTATGTTGAACTAGATTTTTCCCCATATTGACAGCACTGTGTTGTCACACAAGAGAGGGATAGTGTGAGTGAGAATTCCAAAATCCTTTAGCTGCTATTTTATCCAGAGTAGCTAAGCACAAAAAGAAGCAGCAGCCACATATTCTGCCTCAGCTCTGGAGAGGGCCACATAATTATGTTTCTTAGTTCCCCATGAGATGAGTGAACCTAGAAAGTGGGTCATTCTAGAAGTGCTTGTCTTGTCCACTGCATACCCTACTAACTCAAATGAGTCTCTAGCTGGATAGAAGAGGACCAGGTCCCATGTCCCTTTCAGATACCTCAGAATCCTCTTGGCAACCTTCAGGTGTGACTCTCTGGGACAAGCTTGAAATCTTGCACGCATGCCTACGCTGAACACTATGTCAGGTCTACTTGTTGTTAGATACAACAACGATCCGATAATTCCTCTGTATATAGTCTGATTTATCAAGCCACCAGAATCATTAGCTCCCAATTTAGAATTTGTGCCCATAGGGGTGTCAATGGGCTTTGAATCAGTCATGTGAAATGTTTTCAACAATTCTTTGATATATTTTTCTTGACAGATTGAGGTCCCGTTTGGAGTTTGCTTGATTTGCAGACCCAAGAAAAAGGTCAGCTCTCCCGTCATGCTCATTTCGAATTCATTTCCTATTAGAGTGGCAAATTCTTCACATAGTACCTCGGATGTAGCTCCAAAGATGATGGCATCCACATACACTTGCATGATAAACAACTCTTTCCCTATAGTCTTCAGGAACAAGGTATTGTCAATCTTGCCCCTCTTGAAATCATTTTTCAGCAGAAAGTTGGATAGCCTTTCATACCAGGCTCTAGGAGCCTGTTTTAGTCCATAAAGAGCCTTGTCTAACTTGAACACATGATTTGGGAGGTCTATATCTTTGAACCCAGGTGGTTGTTTTACTACACTTCTTCCTTCGGGTCAACATTTAGGAATGCATTTTTGGCGTCCATCTGGAGCATCTTGAGTTCCATATAGGCTGCAAAGGCAATAAGAATTCTAATGGCCTCCATTCTGGCAACCGGAGCAAATGTTTCATCATAGTCAAAGCCTTCTTCTTGATTATAGCCTTGCACAACCAGCCTTGATTTGTTCTTTGTGATAATACAATTTTCATCAAGCTTGTTTCTGAACACCCACTTGGTCCCAATAATAGTTCTGTCAGCAGGTCTAGGGACCAGTTGCCATACTCTGCTCCGCTCAAATTGATGGAGTTCCTCTTGCATGGAATTTAACCAATCAACATTCGTCAAGGCCTCTTTGATATTCTTTGGCTCAACGCTGGATATGAAGGCTGAAAATGCCACCAAGTTTCTGACCTT